TAGAAAATGGCTGAAGCCACAACAGAGTCATAGAATGTATTTAGGAGCGCCCCCTGCACTCCAAAAGACATCAGTTTGACCTTAAAATTAAGACCCCAGAATGAAACAATTCATTAATTTATTTCTTTTAATTTTAATGAATGTGACTTAGAGGTGATACAAACTCACACTCGGCATTTCATAACTAAGATGGCTTAAAATGTGTGTTTGTCTCAATGCAGTCAATATTTCTTATCATCAATATTTTGATGCATTAATTGCTGCATCAGTGTTGCATGGCATGGGGGCAGTCAGCCTCTGGCACTGCTCCCCTGGTTTGATATTTGACATCAATCTTCATGTCAACTGGTCTCTCTCACTGAACACCCCAAGGATTCTCTATTGAGTCAGGCCAAGAGCGTCTATTAACAGCACGCTCATTATAAAATCAGAATCTCTATAAAGTTTGTCCGCAGAAGGAAGCATGTATGCTGTAAACATTTTGCTTTAATCTTTCCTTAAATTCTTGAATTTATTTTACCTAAAATACTCTTAAAGTGGCAGTTATCTCTTTGCCAGTGAGTCTTTTCCTATACCACTTTTTTCTTCCTTTAAAGGGACACTATGCAACATTTTTCAGTTAATTAATGTGTTCCATAACGTTTTGGATGATTAAATGAGTCATTTCAGGTTGAACAAAGGTATTCTCGGCCGCCCTGGTGGTCTGTGGGGGAAATACTGCACTTGCAACTGCAGGAGCACCGACCCGCAGCAGCTTTGCTGCTCCGGCTGTGTCTGAGGCGCGTTGGGCGGAGCTTCACTATCCTTTCTCTGCCTTGCAGCTATATTTGCTGTGATCAGTGGGAATAAAGTAGTTTTAATATGTGTTTAAGTGAGAAAATACACCTGAAAACGTAATCAGTGCAGTCAGTTCATTCAGATTATTATCCTGCCTTCAATATTTTTTCTGTCGGAGCCGCTCAGACCCCCACATACCAGCGGGGCGCCAACAGTATGGATCCCTTCATCAGCAGCGGTTCACCGCGGCAGCTGGTAGGTGTTTTTCATCTAAATAATCCAAACTGCATATTCTGCCGGCAGATTTCTGCATTTTAAGTTAATTTAGGTGTCAATAAACTGTTTAAGAGGAGAGATCATCAGCGCTGTGTCTCTCTCCCTGCGTTAAACGCACCCGAAGCGCTGCTTCAGCTGCTCAGACGTGCTGCGCCTGGTGCTCAAAACGCGCCGCGGGACCTTTTGTTGCGCCTTGACGTGCGTCAACCATTGACTTTGCATGTAAACTCGCTGCTTCTGTCGCACCAGCTACGTCCAGTGTGAACGCAGCGTTAGTCATTCGCTGCTAAGCTCAAAACAACCGCGCCTGGCTTGACGGAGAAACCAGGAGAACAGCTGTGCATATTTACGACAGTGCACTTTTACTTTCGCCCTCTGGAGGGAGCCTCACTGGAAAATCAACACCGGTTGCATAGTGTACCTTTAACTGTTCTAAGAAGATGCTTGGATATAAAATTCTGCAAAGAAAAGTAAAAAACGAGTTTATTTAAACATTTTGTTGTGAAGGATGACAATAAATCACTTCTGGAAATATGTCAAGTCGTTTTCCTTAAATTAGGTGTTTAACTTAAATGAATGATTACACTCAAAAGGATTTATATGCCATTAATTAACAGTAAGCCATAATATGATTAATACATGAAGAAATAGCTTGAAATAGCTAACTCTGTGTAATAAAGATATATTACATATGAGTTGAATTTATTTAAACTACGTTTCACTATATTCTAATTGTTTGAGATTAATTTATAGACTACACCGACACCACTGCCATCTAGTGGTCACAAAGTGAGTTGCTGCGGTGAGCGGAGGAAGAAACGTGTTCGCAGCGCGCTCGCCTCGTGTGTGTGCACAGTCCCCATCCTCTGAGTCTGTACCCAGCGGGATCTTAACTATGTTTAACAAAAAACACAACTGTCGTTTCCGAGGCTGCGTTAAAGCATGAACCTCATGTTTCTATTTATCAATATTTCATATTGTCCCTGGAAATGTTTATAGGGTTCAAACTGAAGTACAATGTTATCTTTGTTCTAATAAAATTACATTGCCCATAATAGATTTTTATTTTTTTACACGACGTGCTTATTTGCAAAAATCAGAATCTTATTTGGTGGCTTCGCAAAAACAGCACCTTTTACTTTTGTTGAATATATATTTAAAAAAAAATGAGGAGATAAAAGATTCCCTTTTGATGAAATCATTAAAGCTCTTCCATGATCTCTGCAGTTTAAACCACACTTGCTTCAGCACAGCCAGTACTTTTTTCATGGTTATTTCAACCCCAGTGTGTTGAAAATCGTCGCTCTGTGTTTTTTTTTTTCTTTCCCTTTTGTCATATCAGGCGAAGGGTTGGTCTATTGTGAAGGTTTTTCTTTCTTTCTGCAGAAGCCTTTCTACTAATCGAGCGACAAAATGTGTTTCAGCTCCGCGGTTCTATAGGAGCGGCTCTCACAGAGGAGAAGATGCACTTATTTGGTTGAGAAAGCTCGTTTGTAATGATAAATGGATGGACTTTGAGCGCTGCACTCACACTGTCAACGCATATTTCCAGCAGTTTCTCCCGCCCTCTTCTCCAAAAAAAAAGAAGAAAAAAAAATCCGACTTGCCTTCCATGTGCAGCGTGTTGTGCGGGGTTATAATAGGTTTTTTTCCTTGATGAGGCGTTATTATTATTTAATTCAAAGTATAAACTCACCCTGCCTTTATAGATCACACAAGCCATCTGGCTGCATTTATGCACTTGTAAAATCTCACAGAAAAAAAAAAGAAAAACATAAAGCAACTCCTTCATATTTAACAGCAATCTATCGACTTGTTTATCAGGAAGTGTTTTGGATGGGGAAAAAACCCCAACAGTTATCGAAAGTGGGTCGATCAACCTATATGTATCTAATTTATTTTAGCTGAACCATCAACTAGAAGTCTTGATTCCACCAGGGATTTCAAAGCCCTCTAACGGCCTAAACTGTTTCAGTAAATGAATGTCAGCGGGGGATATCGGGGTGTTTCTTTTATTTTCAACGCTTTTAATTTTCTGTCTTCACTCAGCTTGTCAGTTGTTTTATTGTGTGTGTGTGAAGATGGAAGTCGGGATGATGATGATGAAGCCAGGCTCAGAGGCATATAGGCGGCAGAACATGCGCAGTGGACACTTGTGCCATATTGGAATGAGGTCGTGAAAGAAAAGTGCGTCAAGCTAACGGAAGTAAGGCGACACTACCCGCCACAATAAAAGCCCCGCGCGTTGCCCGAGCGACGGTTGGAGCTGTAGATGTCGAGGAGTAGAAGCCGCACGAGCCTCAACTTCGCCGCCATAATGGAAAGAGGTAGGTTGCAAACAGTTTTTGACTCAAGCTGGGCAATGTTTATATTATCTTGATATACAGTGAACTTTTTTGTTCTGTTTGAGATATTAATTTTAATTACCTGTAAAAAATTAAAATAAAATAAAATTGCCAGAGGAAGAAAAACTGTTTAAACAGTTAGTTTCTACATAAATATTTATTTGAAGATTAAATAATTGAATATTAGGTCAATGTGAAATCATAATTCAGGAATATTACATATTTTAAACTCCAATCAGGATATGTGATTAGTTATTTCTCACTGGGAGAAAATGGTGAAAAGATCCAAGCAAGGAACTGAACCATTTTCTCCACGGAAGTCAAGAGCGCTACAAATCATATGTGACTGGGTATAAATCAATTTAAGGTTTCTCTTAAAGGATTGTAAGGGGGAAAAAAGTGGTTTTGCACATATCCATCAGATTGAAATTTATTTGACTTTTTTCTAAACTAAAACTTTAAAATTTAAGCTTAAGTGTTTTTAGAGCTGTCAGTAATTAATACATTTTCACTTTACATGTAAACTCTTGGTCTGTTGAAAATTAAAGATTAAGGTTTGGTATCTTTTTGGTATAAGAGATCATAGTAATTATGTTTTGTTTGTTTAATTATTCAACATCACAGAATAAACTTAAGTATAAGAAACTTTAGCAATTCAGCAGTGTTGGAAACAAAAGGACTGTGACATCAGTATATATTGAATAAAATATGATGATCCTTATTTTCATTGCTATTGTTTTCATTGATGGGGTAGATTGAGATACAAATTCATAATTATGAGATATTTGCCTTTCAAACTTTGAATCTCATTATTATGACTTTCTATTTGGCTTTTTTTCATGTGGCAGAAGTGTGCTTCAATTGAAGAGGATGGGCCACTGAAAAAAAAAGTTAACTGATTTTTAAATATTATTTCAGGTTGATATGGGGAAAAAAAGTCAGAACTCTGACTTTTTTTCTCAGAATTCTGACTTTAATCTCAGAATTCTGACTTTTTTTCTCGGAATTCTGACTTTAATTTAAGAATTCTGACTTCTCAGAATTTTGGATCTTAATGTAGATGGGCACCATCAAGGAAGAAATGTGGGAGCACTCAGCTTCACTGACGAAGATCTGAGTTGTTTGAGAGGGCCAGTAACACATTGGTGGAAAAGGACGCAATTAGGCAACTTTTTACGTGCCCGAGGGGTCCCCGGTGATGCTATTTCATTAATGGAAGAGCAGAAGGTAATTAAATCAAGAGAGCTAGTTTAGTCTCTAAAACAGACATGGCTGCGGCTTGATGCTAACATGTCAGCTGTCAGAATTCAGTCAGAATATGAAAAAAGTCAGAATTTTGAGAAAAAAGATTTTTTTCTCTCATATTATACTGAAATAAAATGTACATATCAGTTAACTTTTTTTTTTCAGTGGCCCTAATCCTCTTCCGTAGGCTTCCATAGTTTTTAAACCAAACCTCTGCTAGGTGTTTAAGACGGCCTGCCACTCACAAGATGGCGGCGGAGCGACGTATTGTTTCCACGGGGGCTACTTGGCCAAGCTCTACAGCGCTAGCTACGCGAGCCTGTTATTTTGAAAGGTTTCGCCGGCAGTCCGTTTTTTTTTTCATTAACGCTGGATTAACGCTGCTGCGAGAGCGAGCAGGCGAAGAGAAACGGCATCTAAAAAAGCGACTTGGAAAAACTACTTATCGGTAAGGGGATAATTTGGCGACTAAATATTCACGTACTCTGTGTTGTTTTTCACGTATTATTAACGGTGTTTTTTACAGTGGGGGCGCCTTCGCCTTTTTTCCCGTCTCTCAAAAAGATGAGTCGGCTTCGGTCGAGTGTAAGCGCCCTTATTGCTCACCCAGCTTTGCTCCTATATATCGCTCCAGCAGCCGTGACGTTCAGTAACTTGACTCGGACACAGTCGGTCCCAGCATGCGTCCAAAGAGTCCCGCACGGCCCTGACAGTTTTCGGGACGGGGGGCTGTAATTCATCGGGACGCATTTTAATCGTTGTCATGTTTTTTTTTGGTTTTTTTTTTTCTGCTCAGTGTGAAAGTTGGACCGTCAGCGCAGCGTTGGTCTGTCTGCAAAAAAAAAAAAAAAAAAAAAAAATATATATATATATATATATCTTGGCCCCATTTTTCTGTATTTTTCAACGTATTAACCGTTGCAACCATAAAGCAGTTTAAAGACTGCGTGGAATTTTCCACTTATTTTTGCCTCGGACACTAAAATATATTTCTAACGTCGAAGTCTTACATAATGAAGGTTGCACGACCTTATCCGATTTGTTTTCTTTTCCCCGAGACGGTGGCTTAAAAAAATAAAATAAAATAAAAAAAGACACATAAACTAAACGCGGGTTTTTAGAAGCCAGTAAGATCTAAACTGTTGACATTTTGTAAATTGACTCAATACAAGCGATTATTCATGTGGCCTCTTAAAGCTGAAGTCTGTAAGTTTTTAAAAATCACTTTTTTGTCATATTGGCTAAAACTGTCCCTATGCCCAGACAGCAGTACATGTGATATGTAACCTGTGAAAAAAACTGCTTCAATTGGTCCCGCATACTGCCTGTATTTCAATCTGGAAAGAATAATTCGGGACGAGTCAAAACAACCAATCACAGCCAGAGGAGCGTCTGATGGAGTGTCAATCACAGCTCACACACGCCTTCTGGTCGCACGCGGTAGCCGCGCAGATGCTGTGAGAGGGGTGGAGCTTGGAGGTGGGGAATGAGTGAAGCAGAGAGGGTGGGGGAGTGGCGTGAAACCTGTTTTTCTTCAAATTTTCAGTCGAAGTCTGCTCTCTCCTCAATGTTACAGACTGCAGCTTTAACTTCCCTATTGTGCAACTTGAGTGATCCGCTGGCAGCGCGCGCTGCTCAGACCCACAGCACTTTCTCTGCAAAGTGCATCCAGCCTGTTATTAGATAGAAAATAGCAAATAATGCTGTTTTCTTTGTTTGTTTTCATGGAGTCGTTTGGGTTAAAGGATCATGGACTGATACTGTGTCTGAATATGCAAACTTATGGCGATTAGAAGCACCAGTAGGTTAATATCATGTTTTTGGGGGAAGTTGAGCTTATTAAAAATGTTCATATGAGGTGAGATCAACACTTCAGGGCGCCTGCTTTATGTTTCATATAGTTCATCAGCTCTTTTAGTAAATTGAGTTTTACAAAAAAAAAAAAAAAACATGTATTTATTAAGTGAAACATCTTTACATATTAAAGTGTAGGTAATGTTTTAATTACGATTATAAAAAATATAATAATTATAGAAAAAAAGTAAACAAAATGAATTAAAACCAGGGGCAGAGCTAGATGGGGGCCCAGGGCTGGCCATGTGGCCACCCCTACCATTTTTTTCCTCTAAAACAGACGGTAGCAGCAGTAATACTCTAAGGGTAATGTTCAAACTTATTAAATATTTAAATTTTTCATATATTAACTTGACAACAGAAACACTGTGGTTAATGATGCACATCAATATACAAACATTAAAGATGATACATAAAGAATTCATGCTCTTTTCAGAACTAAATTTTCAATTATTTGGGGTAAAGATAAAATGACGTGCGTCTGTAGTTCTTCAGTGAAATCATAGATAAATAAATACTATAATAATAACTTAAAAAATCATTTAATGTGGATGTTTGCCGCAGAACTCAAACCAGAAAGAATTTTGTCCACTATACCTTTTATTTACACAGCATAGATGTTTAAATATATCTGTTTATTTGTTAGCCAACACTGCAGGGGAGTATAGGTTGTCTTTATTTAGAAAATATGGATGTTGTGCTTGTTCCTGTTGAAACAGGGTAGATTGACCCTGAGGTTCTGTTGCCTTTGACTGGCCACCGCTATTAGGATTTTCTGGCTACGCCTCTGTTTAAAACTACAGCAGCATCAATCAGTAAGATATTGTAGTTGGAAAAAATTTTCCCTTTCAGTGTTTCTGATTAGTGATGGCATGTCAATGATTTTTTTTTTCACATTTAATAAACGCATTATATCTCCAAATGTCTTTGGTACATTTTAATCTGAATTTCTTAAAAGCTATTCTGTGAAATAAACAAGAGAAAAGTGCTCTGAACTATTACCTCCAATTTAATTTATTTTAATCTGTTTTAGACTATAGGAAAAACAAACAACATGGAAGGTCACAGGTTGTAGAAAACTGGATTTGCCAAGAAAAATATTCTCCTGTTAGTAAAAAATCATATTTCCAGAAATACAATCCCTTTTTTTTATTTGTCTGCTGTAGTTCTTATGGTGTTATCATTTTTAATGAAAAAGTAAAAAAAAACAAATTTTTACCCTTTATTTGCAAATACAAACCTTTTCAAAAGTATAACATCGTTTTGCCTCTCTTTAAAAGTTGAAAAGCAACAATTATATATTCTTCGGCTAAATAATAAGGCCTTTCAGCTAAATTAAAGCATTTGTATCTGGTATTTTAATACTGCTGCATGTAGTTATGCAAACACTAGATGCGCACCTTCCCAATTTAGCCTTACCTGGAACTGCTCTTTATAGAACAAAATACAGTGAAATTGTTTGGTTAATTAGTCAGGCTAACTGCTAAGCATTCAGTTGCTTAGCAGAAAAAGCTTAACTCTCAACCTAAATCAGCTTCTTCTTAAAAACACGGATGTGTCTTCTTTAGTTTCCACACCATATAGAACTGGCAAACAAAGAAATTGGGCTTTCCATTAAGCAAGGTTAAAGTCTATGTTGGGCCAGTGTTTAGTAACAGGTGGGGGAGGGGAGCATGGCATTACTTGTTGCTCTTTAGGATGAAACGAAGGCAAAAAAAATCTGAGGCTATTCTAGAGTTGTTATGATGGTAAAATTTGGTGTTGTTAGAATTTAAAACGTGTTGGACCTCAGTACTGCTTTTCTAATCTATTTGGTCACATGCTGGACTATTGAGAAAAACACTGAACTGATGCAAAAGCAGAACATCTCTGGTCATATGACAGTTTTTATATCAAAGTCAAAAACAAAACATCTCTCTCTTAGGTCATCACTGCTGCAGGACCTGAGAAATGTTTTTTTTTTTTACTAAGGAAAGATTTCTGAAGGTGCTGAACTCAGAGAAGATCATTTTCCTTTTTTTACTCTGAGGATGTATTTTTCATCCAGGAGCTGTTGTTTCTGAAATTATAGCAGCATGCCTCTTGTTTCTATGCAACAACACAAAAGCCGACAAGAACTGTGACTCTGCTGAAGGGATCTTTCTGCGGTGGGGGATTAACCTTGGCACCATTGCAGCCAATACTTTCCTGTCAGTTTAAGTCAAACTTTCTATTCTTTTGCAAAGCTTTTAGTAATGAATTGCTAACGGTGGAACATTTACTTGCAGCCTTTTTTTTTTTTTTTAAAGCTTTCTCTCTGGAGCTAAAATATAATATAGAATGCTCCTTTCATGTCTCAAATTGACCTCTTAGGGGTTTACTTCTCCCTATAATGCTTTCAAGCTATTTAAAAAAAATTAAAAAGAGAAATCTCTAAAGTTGGCTTTCTCACTGAACCTAGCTGGTGATTTTTGACAAATGGAGCACCATGTTCTGGCCAAATCCTACTCTGGTCATGTAACAGACTGCTACCAAAACATCTCTGGCAGTGCAGGGACTCTCCTTCCCTCAGCTCCTCACTGTCTCCCCTCCTGCTCTACCGCTGACAGAAAGCTGTGCATTTTGCTGAAAATTGGTCGATCTTACTGAGTACTTCAAGTTATTGTAAAGAGTTAAGAATATGAAAGCACAACTTCATCTGTGGTGAACTAAATGGTTACAAAGCAGCCTAGTTTTCTCCAAGTCTGAATGATTGTCTCTCCACACTCTAATCTCGACAGAACAGGCTGCATCTTAGCCGACGTCGTGCTCTGGCTGATAACAGAAGCAGACTTTTTTTTTTAGACTGAAGTTTTGTAAAAGTATATTATGTGACGGCACATGGCGTACAATAAAGGATAGCGTATAGTAACAAGTAAATGAATCCAAATACAAACACTTATTTGTAAAGTAATTATTACTTCTCTGTGTATGATTAAAGACAACAGTTAAAAAAGATACTTTACATTGCAGTGCAAGGGGTTTGTTTCAACAGCAGTTAAAAAAATGTGCAATTTTGATGACAAACAGCTCAAAGTGATTAGATTCAGTCTTATTTAAAAACGTCTGACTTTATTGTTTTCACAGTAAAACCTGACGACAAAGGTAACAATCTAATCAGAATCATCAGAATCAGATATACTTTAAAGTGCAAAGTCATACTGTCAACTTTTAAAGGGTTGGAAAAACCCATTAGTAAGAGTATGTCTTCATCAAAGTCTGATTACCTCTCAGAACAGTCTGTTTATTTTCCCCCTCCCACACCTGTTGCTGGGCATCACGGGGCAGCTGGCTGAAAGAAATGCGGTGTCATTTTCCGTTGTTTGTAATGGAAAAGAAAAGGTGGATGTTTGGAAATGTTTCAAGTCAAAACAGAAACATAGATGAAGGATGTGGTGTAGACAGTGAAATTGGGCCACCTTACAGTCGTAACAGGATAAAACTGTTAACTGAAACAAGTGCAGCGAGTTGCAGGGAGGATCCACCAGAGCAGGACTATTAATCAGTCCTACTTGAATTTAGATTTAGAGAAAAAGCTAAAGATTTAATTAATATAAACACCAAAAAAATAAATAAATGTTATAAATAGAATTTGAACCAGTGGCAATTTCTCATTCAGTACTAGGGAGGCTTAACCTCCCCTGTAAATTTCGTAAAATTATTGTTAAAATATGCATTGTGAAACGATATAAATGTAGTTATTAAACTGCATTAATAATGAACTAAAATGTGCCTGATTTCATGAGTATTTTGCACATTAATCAGCTGTTTATTCCGCTCTCGGACTCAATCTCCCCTCCTAGAGCAGCAGGACGCTTTTAATGAGAAATCTAGGGCCACAATAAAAGTTTAATTAGCAAATCAATTAATCCGTCAATTATTTTTTGTTTGTTTTGATTAATCGATTAATAATCGGATAGTGAAGTGTTGCTTAAAGAAGAGTTTTTATGAAATGTAACCAGGTGAAACGTTTTTTATCTAAAATGCAAAATGTTTACATATTGTTTTTTCACACTTTTTCTATAATTGGTGCTCAAGGTGGGTCGCTCTGTCAGCAAAAGGCATGATTTAGAGTCTATACTCCAGTTAACGATTAATCAATCACTAAATTAGTTGACGATTATTTGCATAAGAGATTAATCTGATAAATTTTTTCAGCCCTGGAGAAATCCCTGGTGAGGTTTCAGCCTCCGTCTGTTGAACTAAGCAATGAAAAAGAAAGAGCTCTGATTGAAAAGCGCTGCAAAATACGTCACCTCCAGTGAGGCTGAACTTAGGGTGTCTATGGAGCAGGGCGCGTCATGAAGCTGACTGCTTGATGCTGATTGGCAAACATACTTATGAATTTTTGACTGACATTGGCCAGACAGGGAGGAGGTTTTTCTCATAATTAGAGAGGGAAAGAGTTAAAATATTTCAGATTGCTTCACAGAAGCTATTTTACCCCATTCTATTAATGTGTTTTATGTGTTTCAACATTTTTTAATGCAGTATGTGACGTTTGTATTTAATTAACGCAATTGAGCCTCCCCTGTTTCAGAGAGCAGCAGCCGCCTCTGGTTTGAACTTTAAGAATCAATATATTAGATTTTCTTAGCAGTAGTGGCAACAATTCTTTGATTAATATAATCAAATTATAATTTTCTTACATGTGTAATTAATTCTGTTTTTACATGGTATAATGCTGAAAAAATGGTGGTAGTTCCACCAAAGGTTTGCATCATCTGACCATCTCATAGCAGCCTGATATGAGATGCGCTTTTTCTGTTTGAAAACATCAAGAAGTAAATTTAGCCACAGTCTTATTCAATTGTGCATCAGAGGAGAAAATGCTGGTGTTTTAGACTAACTAATGGTGAGCTACAGATGCCACCTAGCAGAGGTTATGGAGATGTTCTCTGATGTTTTTGTTCATGTTATCAGATCGTTTTTCCCACTCAGAGACATCTGAGGCCCAAAAAAGCATTTTTCTAAAAAGCTTCATGGCATGTTAAGTGCGGATGAGGCTATGATTCGTTAAGTGCTTGGAACGGGGATGTGCTGCGTGGATGTCGGTAGGCTCTGAGCGCCTGTGAGTGTGTGTGAGTGTGGGTGAGTGTGTGCATTTGGCCCTCTCGTCTTTCGGGTTCAGTTGGGAGTGTCGTTTGGTGTGAGTTTTAGGCAGACTGCTGCTAACTGTGGTCCACTCAGACCACTTTACCGAGTGCAAAACAGGGAAGTCGCTTTTCTTCCTGTGTGCCTGTAGAGCCGAGGCTGTGGTGAACTTCTGCAGAAAGCTACGGCTCGTCCAGCCTAAAGTGAAAAATCAAACAGGTTTGACTTGAAAACGTAAAGAACTTTATAGGAGTGTTGGTTTATTTAGTTTTTTTCCCTCAGTTGTAGAGTTAAACCTTTGAATCCATGCACCAGTGTTTGTAAAGCTTTTTTTGCTGCTCTTTTTAACTCTTTTTCAATCCCCCCTCCCAGCCCCCCAGGACAATGAGAACCTCTGGTTTGTGTGTCTTTGTCAGAGGGAGGGGAGAGAGGACAGAGAAAGTCTGGTGCGGGGTCGTGGGTGAAAGGCGGGCGCTGATCCCGTTGGAGCACCGGGGTCGCAGTTGCAGTCCGGCGGTCGGCAGGGGTCGGCCCTCGGCGGCGGCCCCTGTTTTTAATAGAGATGTCAAATGTGACAAAGACGAGGCTGACAGCGCGGCTGAATGGAGCTGAGCTGATGGAGCGGCTCCCCTCGGCTCCAGCTCTCCCATCTTTCGCATTCACGCCACTCTCTCCTGTTGCTTTAACTGATTTCATCTGCTTTTCACAATCATGCGGGGTCAGCTCCATGTGTCAAAGTGATCCACATTCACGTCAGGCCTATGTTTGAGTCTTCATCACCGGTTTCAAGAAGGAAAAACAAAAAAAGCTTACAATTAAGATTTTGCAAAAGATATTCTATTCGCTAGTTGAAGCGACTCCTGAGAGATTAAAATTTGCCAGCCATCTGGGGTGCTACTTAGGTGCTAAGTGCAGGGCCAGAAGAGAAGCTTTTGGAATATTAATGTTCCAACTTCAGATTTGGCAGCGTTGTGTGATAAATGCAGCATTCCTTCATTTAGCATTTTCACAAAGACTGAAACAAGCGCACATTTATCTGGCTTAATGGTTATTAAAGCAGCTGAAATTCTTGTTGTCTTGATCCACTCGGCCCTTCAGGTCCCTCCGGTGGTGTTTATAGTGGGCTCATTTTGAAGAAGTCACACATTTTCTCACACTGAGTCTTACAAATGAAATGTAGTTTATTAGGATGTTTCTAGATGGGATGGATCAAAATAAGGCCATGCACGGTTGTAAAATCTGGATAAATCTGGTTTGCATTCATATTCAGCCTTCTTGACTCTCATGGTTTAAATAAATTCCCATGCTATATAATATCATCAGAAGCCACCCAATTATTAAATCAAGAATATGAGTGTGTAATGTTTAAATACAGCTGTTCTGCTGAGGCCTCAGAGGGGTGGCGGAGAAGTGGAAACATCTCAGGGAGCGTTAGAGTATTCACATTTAGCAGAGAAGCAGCCCAGATTAATTTAAGCCAGAAATTATTCATATCTCTGGCACATTAGAATTTTTTTTTCATTAATTTCAGAAGTTTGTTTCTGATGGGAAAGAAGACAGGGATATTTTAGAATAATGATAAAATTATCCTCTTTTTATTTTTATTTTATTAAAAGTTGGCTTGTCAAATTTGACTAATATTGTCAATGGAAAGCTCCGAATCACTACCACCCTAATCTCTAGCTTCTCTGTAAGATTCAGGTCTGATCTCTGGCTGCTCCCTGGGAATATAACAAGTTAGAAGAAGCTTGCTGTTAGAATCAGGGCTGTCCCAATACAAAGTATTCTTGTTCAATACGATACCCATATAGAAGCTTTGAGTATTGGCTAATACCAATATTAACCCAATAGGATATCAGCATGATCATCCAGTGTTTGATGGAATGATAGGACTCAAATAAAGAACAAAGTCAACAACAATAGACCCTAAAACTTTAAAGAGAGGTGGATAGGAGTGGAGTGTTTCTGTCATCACGCTCATATCAGAGATCAGGCTGATGTACTCCGACGCTCATTTTCTGCTTGATTTTATATATTACTGACTGATTTCCAATATAAAACTGGAGCGGAACATTTCTAGTTCAAATGCAAAAGATCATTTTGAAGCTAAGTCTTTCTTTAATGATCTTAGGATGAACTGTGGTTCTGGAGAAAGTGCAGAGATCCACAGCTTAGATGGGTGATTCTTTTAGCAGGGAAAATATGTTGGTCAGAGTCTATGGGAAGATGGATGAAGCTAATTGCAGGATAATAATGGAAGTAAACTTGTTAGAGATTGCAAAAGACTTGAGACTAAAGAAAAAGTTTTATTTTGTTTGTTATTTGTTTTTTTTTTTAGCAGGTTGACAGTCTTAGAAATAAACCCTAAAAGAAAGGCAAATAACTGCACCAAAATGGGCTTCTGCTAAATGCTAACGCAGGGGGCTTAATACAAATGCACGCCACACTTTTCAGATTATCTTGCCAAAAATTCTGTAAACCATGTATGCTTTTCTTTCCATGTCACAACAGTAATCTACTTTCTTGGTGTATAATCTAAATTCTGTTATTCATACTTTATGCAATATTCTGTATGGCTTATTGCATCCAACTGATCCCTGTTGAAAGAGATTTGTTGCACTTTTTGTTTGCAGCTTATCTATCTGAGAAGGGAAAGTGCCATCGAGATATCATATTGTTGAAAAATGACTTCAGATATCTTCTTGTTCAGCAGTACACAGAGTGACACTGTGCAGAACAGAACATTGAAAAGGCTTAATATCTATCCTTCTCTTTATCAAAAGTTTGGAGCCATTTTGAGTCATTCTCTCACTGCCGGCAAACATCTTTTCTGCACTGATCCTTCTCAGAGCTTCGAGCCTCGGCCTTGAGGGGGACCAGCATGAGCCAGGCGACGCTCGAGTCTGGTAAGAACTTCTCTATGAGCGGCTGGATCACATAAGTCGGACTTGTTGTTAGGAGAGTAAATGTGTGTGTTCCAGATGGAGATGTTGCTCAGGATGGGGCTGACTTTAGCTGGGATGACTACCTGGAGGAGACTGCAGCCGTGGCTGTGCCCCATCACGCCTTCAAACATGTAGGTGAACATTTTCCAAGTTACTGGTGATTGTTTACCACGCTGCTGTCTTAAGACTTCAGAGTCAAATTATGCTCTAATATGATGATAGAATTAAAACGATTGGAGTCAATCGGCTTATTTGCTTAATTTCCATTAAATCTATAATATTCAAGTTTATTTTAACCTCGTTTAATCAAGTGATCCAACTCATGTCTCAGGTGGACCAGGGCCTCCAGACAGGACTGACCCCAGGTATGAAGTTGGAGGTATGTGTCCGCTCAGAGGCCGACAGCCCTTACTGGGTTGCCACTATCATCACCACATGTGGCCAGCTGCTGCTGCTGCGCTACGAAGGCTACCAGGATGACCGGCGCGCCGACTTCTGGTGCGACATCATGACGACAGACCTCCACCCATTGGGCTGGAGCCGGCAGCACGGCAAGACCATGAGGCCCCCCGAAGGTGAGTTGTTCACTGACTCTTAAGTCAGTCAGACAAGATAAGTTCTAAAAAAAGATGTCAAAACCCTGAACAAGGGTGTCTGCGGTTGGACAGGAAGCAGGTATCTTCAGATGCGAAACCACTGACTCAGCTAGGGGCTGCCTTATGCTGCATTTGGCTCCAAAATAACAATGTTTTCAGAATATGCAGTCCCATCAGACCAATTTGATTGTCATGTTTTCCCACGGGGATGGTGCATTCAGGGACACCAAAGCACCGCAGTAAATTACTTATTTTTATTTCTAAGAAGGATTAAAGCATGTTGGCTGAAGGAATATCAGAGTGGAAGGAGCAGAATAGATACGTTTGCCACTTCTAGTTTATTTTTCCTTGTTAAATTATAAAAATAAATACTTTGTTAGTTAATCTCCAAATGAAATTGAAATCAATCAAACCCATTTAAAATACATTTGGTTTTTGGGGTTATAAGGAGGACATTAGTACTTCATTTAACCTCTAATCAGGTGCGGAACCCCTGGTTTATAATCTTCTGCTTTTAGAAGTTTGGTTTTGAATAAATAAATCACATTTAAAGTAAATAAATATTAAAATAACTGTACGTAATAAAATAATTTTTTTTTCTTGTTACTCGTTATAGTTACAGTAAAGATGGGCCAAAAAAAGGGAGCAGAAAAGAGCGTGTAATCGCTAAAGACCGAACCTAAACATTGTGAACCTTTTGTTTTAGGTGTGCGTGAGAAACATCCAGAGTGGGAGGCTCTGCTACAGAAGGCCTTGGCTGAGGATTGCGGAGCGCCTGCCAGTCTGCTGGAAATGGTAAAGCACACTGGAAAATCCATCTAGAAATAAGTAAAAATTTCTTGAATTGAGTGCATTTAGCCTTAATTTGGAAGGTAAATGAGATGGTTTGCCAATAAAATTAGTATTTTTTACCCTTGAAATAAGATAATTAGATAATATGTACTTGAAATAAGAAAATTCAATTGTGTTTTCTTATTTTAAGTGTACATTGTCTTGTTCCATTGGCAAAATGTGTCTTTTTACCTCCTCAACCCAAGAACAAATACACTTATTTTAAGAAAAAAAATGACTTATCTAGATTTCGATTTTTTCCAGTGAAGGATTTCTGAGCATCTGTCCAACCTTAAACTCACAAGATCCTCACAGCCAGGAAGGAAACTTAGCTTCTGTATCTCTGCAACGTTAATGTAGCTTGTGAGATTAAAAATAGAGTTGTTGAAGTTGCAACATTTTTGTCAGACCATAAATGTTAGCTCTATTAAACAACTGCAAAGCTTGGTTGTGGAGAAAAACACCCACCAAGCTGGCAGTTTATAGCCTCCAGTGATTAGAGTAACTGATTTACTCACACAAGCCTTCACATAACATGGTGATGTTTTACTTTCTGTTTTACTTTCTGTCTGACAGCACTTGGTTGAGTTTCTGATAGTAAATCTGGGAAAAAAGCAACTTTCACGTCGGGCATGCCTGTTGGGAAATACCTCATCCTGAACTAAATGACTTCATGTCTGCAGTGAAGTCTGGCATGTGCAGCTCACATGCAGTCGGTCACATGTAGGGCTCTCTGAGCATGTGTTTACACCACAGAGGCCATGATGCTGAAAGTTATTTCTCATTGCTGTTAGTTGGCTGTCAGCCACTGAGCTTCAGTTCTGCTGCTTAGCTTCACAGTGCATTCTCTCCTCGCCGAGGCGTGTGTTCACATGTACCCGAGCAAGCGCTCTCTCTGTCCACTTCTCATTGATCGTCTCCCCCGATCCTCAGCCCCAACGCGGCAGAGACCCGCTGGAGCTGCTGACGGCCGGCTGTTACGTGGAGCTGCAGGACAGCACCGACCCGGGGTCGGCCTGGGCCGCCGAGGTGGAGGAGAATGTTGGAGGAAGGCTGAAGCTGCGCCTGCTGGGGACCGAGGGCCTCCCAGACACACCTGCAACCCTCTGGCTCTTTTATCTTCACCCACGCCTACACCCACCCGGCTGGGCCCAGGAGCACGGCTGCACCCTGAGGCCCCCATCAGGTTAGCAGCTCTGACACCGGTCAACTTCTACAGGTGCTGGTCATAAAATTAGAATATCATGAAAAAGTAGATTGATTTCAGTAATTCCATTTAAAAAGTGAAACTTGTATATTATATTCTTACATTACATACAAACTCATATATTTCAGATGTTTATTTTGTTTAATTTTGATGATTACAAATGACAACAAATGAAAATCTCAAATTCATCATATCAGAAAATTAGAATATTACTGAAGACCAATAAAAACAAAGGATTTATAGAAATGTTGGCCAACTGAAAAGTATGAACATGAAAAGTATGAGCATGTACAGCACTCAGTATTTAGTTGGGCCTCCTTTGGCCTGTATTACTGCAGCAATGCGGCGTGGCATGGAGTCGATCAGTCTGTGGCACTGCTCAGGTGTTATGATAGCCCAGGTTGCTCTAATAGTGGCTTTTAGCTCTTCTGAATTGTTGGGTCTGGTGTATTGCATCTTCTTCTTCACAATACCCCATAGATTTTCTATGGGGTTAAGGTCAGGAGAGTTTGCTGGCCAATTAAGAACAGGGATACCATGGTCCTTCAACCAGGTACTGGTAGCTTTGGCACTGTGTGCAGGTGCCAAGTCCTGTTGGAAAATGAAATCTGCATCTCCAAACAGTTGGTCAGCTGCAGAAAGCATGAAGTGCTCTAAAACTTCCTGGTATGTGGCTGCGTTGACCCTGGACCTCAGAAAACACAATGGACCAACACCAGCAGATGACATGGCACCCCAAACCATCACTGACTGTGGAAACTTTACACTGGACTTCAAGCAACGTGGATGAAGTGCCTCTCTTCTTTTCCTCCAGACTCTGGGACCTTGATTTCCAAAGGAAATGCAAAATTTACTTTCATCAGAGAACATGACTTTGGACCACTCACCAGCAGTCCAGTCCTGTTTCTCTTTAGCCCAGGCAAGACGCTTCTGACGCTGTCTGTGGTTCAAGAGTGGCTTGACACAAGGAATGCGACAGCAGAAACCCATGTCTTTCATACATCTGTGTGTGGTGGTTCTTGAAGCACTCACTCCAGCTGCAGTCCACTCTTTGTGAATCTCCCCCACATTTTTGAATGGGTTTTGTTTCACAATCCTCTCCAGGGTGCGGTTATCTCTCTTGCTTGTACACTTTTTTCGACCACATCTTTTCCTTCCCTTCGCCTCTCTATTAATGTGCTTGGACACTGAGCTCTGTGAACAGCCAGCCTCTTTAGCGATGACCTTTTGTGTCTTGCCCTCCTTGTGCAAGGTGTCGATGGTCGTCTTTTGGACAACTGTCAAGTCAGCAGTCTTCCCCATGATTGTGTAGCCTATAGAACTAGACTGAAAGACCATTTAAAGGCTTTTGCAGGTGGTTTGAGTTAATTAGCTGATTAGAGTTTGGCACCAGGGGCCATCAATTTTGAACCTTTTCACAATATTCTAATTTTCTGATATGATGAATTTGAGATTTTCATTTGTTGTCATTTGTAATCATCAAAATTAAACAAAATAAACATCTGAAATATATGAGTTTGTATGTAATGTATGAATATAATATACAAGTTTCACTTTTTAAATGGAATTACTGAAATCAATCTACTTTTTCATGATATTCTAATTTTATGACCAGCACCTGTACATTTACACGGAAAACGAATGGATGCGATTAAAATTATAAAAGAAAATAAATATAACATTTATGGTGTGATTGACAACCATATTCAAAGAAAGTATGTTTGTTTTTCAGTGCTGACAGTGAAATAAATGGATAGTTACCCAATAGAGCTTGAGATTAGTTTTCCACCTATGATCAGAGTAATTTTCAGGACTACAGACTGTAAATACAATCTTGTTTGTATGCAAAATGTAAAAAAAAGAACTAATGGCTGTATACAGTATGTCCTGACACAGCTGGTTTCTCCTCTACTGCTGCTACAGCTGAAGGTGTATTGATTTTTAATGCCAGACTTTTTTCTTACTGTAGTTTTTTTTTATACCTTCATTGACTCGGCTTATAAAAGCAACAAACAGAAGGTAATTGAAAGTAAAGCTTATCTTAAGGGAGTCAGTGTTAAATGGTTCACTCTAAAAGCTATTTTTCTCATACATAACCAACTGAGGGTTGAACTTTATAAAAGGATAAATGCTGGGGGGTTTTTCTAGGTAATTTAAATAAATAAAGGTGTGATGATGCATAAAATCAATTGTGGGGTTCTTTTTTTGGGTTCTCCAGGAACACTGCGCCTAAGAAACATAGGATCTATTATTATCAAGGACGTATTGAGTAAAAATTGAACAAATTAAGGCAGGTTGGCATTAACTGTTATTTTTACAGATTGAGGTTAAAGGTTTTGATAGTTTCCAAATATATTGGATTCATTTTATTAATTTGGTTAAAAAAGAAAAACCAAATAAACTAAGAAAAAGTTCTTAAACCATTGCTCATTAACATTCACAGGTTTTCCAATTATATGTTGCCTAAATGCAGTGATAACATAAATATTAAGATTTTTTGTAGATGTTTAAAGCCTAAAGATTCAAACTGGGGTCATGAGATTGCAGTTCTTCCACACCTTCTGTTGTTTTCATAGACATAGCCTCCCGAAGCATTTAAGGCCATGCAATCCTGTGTATTAGTTAGGGTAATGATATTAAAAATCAATATCATTTTAATCCTTCTATTCTATATTTACTTTAAATTCTCATGAAACACACTCTAAATTATAAAGAACATGCCTCAGTTGGTCTTTTCTAGCTGCAAACATGGAACGAAAACAGTTTTACTAACATGCATAATGTATTCATTACATATGATCTTGTGAATTTCAGATGTATGACTGAAGATGATTTAAATATCCTTTTTTTTTAATCAAACAGTAATATAAATATCAGATGCCTGTTTTTTGGTCTTCAGTAGCTGATTTTTCTGTATTTATTTACTTCAGAACTGCTGGCGCTGCGTACTGAGGAAGAGTGGGAGGAGGTGAAACAGAGGATTACCTACCTTCCTCAGGATGAAGCCCTGACGGCAGAGTTTGCTAAGGTAAATCCAGCATCACTGCACTTTTACCAAATACTTCTGTTTAGGATTACATCAGTGATACTTCCATCATGTCTCTGAAGCAACAACGTCCAAACTGGGTTTGTGAAAACGACCCACTAAGCATGTTTTTTGTTTGTCGTTTTAGGATCAGCCTGCTGTCGCTGATCATTGTTTTAAAGAAGGGATGAAACTAGAAGCTGTTGACCCTGCTGCACCCATCTCCATCAGGCCTGCAACTGTCACCAAGGTAACAGCGTTTCTCATTTCTCCTGTGCTGCAACGTTCCTCCTGATGTATGCTGTTTGTTTATACCGATAATATTTGAATATTTATTACCCCAGAGGTCCACAGACTGTTCTTTGGATGGTTTAGGGTGAAGAAAACTGACTGAGAATGTCTGGACCATGATGCATTTTCTCATTTGTTTTTCAGGTGTTTGATGAGAAATATTTCCTGGTGACAATGGACGACCTCTGTGGAATAGAGGAGCCGGAAGGGGCAGGACGATCCTTCCTTTGTCACAGAGACAGTCCAGGGATCTTCCCAGCACAGTGGAGTCTAAAGAACGGGCTCCCTCTATGCCCACCACCAGGTTTGCCCTTTCAAATACATCCTTATGTTATCTTTTTCTGACTGTTTTTTAATGCTACCTTCTGTTCTCTTTTAGCTCCGCTCACTTCCCCTCTTGTTTTTGTCTTTCCTCCACTGCAAACAGGTTTCCAGGGTTCCGACTTTGACTGGGCAGACTACCTAAAACAGTGCGAGGCCGAGGCTGCTCCTCAGCACTGCTTCCCAAATGTGAGTCTTTTTCTAAAAACTGGGCATCTTGTGTTGCTCAATGATCTCAAATAAATGAGTTAATGTTTTCTTTCTATCTGCTAAGGCCGGGTTAAACGAGAACTAGAAATTAATTTACGAAAAATGTAATAAAACTCCTCTAAGTCCTGCCGGAGCCCAGGGCTGTTTATCACTATGATGAAGTGATGCATGGATATGATTATATTCAAATTTAAGTAAATATATTTACATTTTGCATATGTTTTGCATAAGGAAGAACTGGATACATGTAAAAGAAAACAGCAGAAAACCAACAGCATGCCTTTTTGAAGGTTCAGCTGCAGTTTTAATAGTCGGTATCTAAATCTGGTGTAAATACCTTCACATATAAACGGATCTGATGCAGAGTCAAGAGCTGCCTGTTAGTAAAGACAGATTAAACACCGTTCCACTTACTGTTGATGTTTGGTTTATCTACTGCAGAGCTGTGAAGTAACTGGAAAAACATTAGATTTGAAAGCCAGAGATTTTTTTTTTTTTGTAAGAGCCTTATTTTATAATAAAAAAAATAGAAAGGCCAAACCTTTAATTGAATTAGATTTATTCATTGTTAAAAAACAAATCTGATACCAACATTTTCTCTCAATAGTTAAAAAAACAAGATCTGTATATCTGAGGAGCGCGGGCGCTAAAAGGTCGCATCACTTTAAGCTTATAACAGGCTTTACGAATGGGCCTGTCAATTACATTAATGTTTTATCTAAATTACAATACTTCTATTGCTTAAGATGATCTGTGACGCTGACTGCATCTTCAGCAGCATTGCGGCAAAGTAGCTCAGGCCATGAATGAACCTGTCCATCCCTGGATCCTTTCTAAAACAGGCCTCCCTTTGTTTAAGTTAAGGACCAGCCCATCTGCTGCATGCACGGGATGGTGGATCCCCCCCAAAACATCAGCCTTTATTAATACTTGAAATAATCAAATAAGTGTGCAGCCACCTTTTGTCAATAGTTTCCTTTAATACATCCTTTAATTATAACTTTCTCAGTTAAGAGGTTGTGAAATGTGTATTTTAACCTATTTTAAGCATTTAGTCAGTTCATTAACAAATCATTAAATCTGTGATGGACCTCATGGTCTCTTTTGGAAAGCTGCAGACCTTCATTTCACTTAATTACTTCAACCTGGCTTGGGCTTAATGAAAGAGATGAAACCAGTATGGAATCATCAAGCTTAGTCAAGCTTGGTCAAAGAAGAATTAGAAGAATTAGAAAGAAGAAAAATACACAGGTGGTCACGCCTACAGCCAGGGTTCATGTGTATCTGTTGTGAACTGGTTGCGAGCGCCGTGGAACCCCTTTAAAATGCCCCCCAGGTCAAAAGTGCGGCTTCACTTTATTAAGACTGATGCTAATAGTGCGCAATGCAATACATCGTGCACGGAAATAATTTAAGAGCAGAAAGTTGCTCGGTGTTTGACTGCAAGAAGAGCGGACTGCAGCCGGCGCCACCATCCTCCTCTCAGCAGCCCGTGGGCGGTGCAAAGCCAGAGCGGAGTGAATAATGCGAGACACTCTTGGAGAATGCTGCTTTCAAACTGGACGCAGCAGGAGCAGCCAAATCACGTCTGCTGCTTCCTTTTTTGCTGCTTGTACCAGCTTCTGACGCGCGGCTGAAGAAGCTTTGCTGCTCTGGCTGCGCAGTCGAAAAGTGGCTCTGACGCGCGTTGGGCGGAGCTACTCTATCCTTTATTTGCCTTGCAGTTATATTTGCTGTGATCAGTGGGAATAAAGTAGTTTTATTAGGTTTTTAAGTGGGAAAATCCACCTGAAGTCTTAATCAGTGCAGTCAGTTCATCCTGCCTTCCAATATTTCTGTCGGAGCCGCTCAGACCCCCACATACCAGCGGTGCACTGTCAATAGGATCCTATTCAACGGGCTTGTTTGTCAGACATGGTAATTTTTCTAAAGGAAAACTGATAAGTAAAAAGGTCCTCACAATGTAACAGTGAATATTAGACACTGATTTTTTTTTTTTTATGTAAGAGGAAAAATGTAAATGGAAAATCAGAGCTTAAAATAAAACTCAAGATTTGTACTTTTTTATGTTGTGTAATTTTCTTTTTCTTCGAATTGATATTATAAAACTGGTATCGAAAAAAGTATCGTTCAGGAACCGGTATCGAAGTGAAGGTATCGGTATTGGTACCGGAACCGAACATTTTTGAACAATACCCAGCCCTACTGTCCACTTCTGTATATATTTAGCTTGCTTTTGTTTGCTCAACAAATGATCAGAAGAATAAGATTTGTATTGCTGCTGGTTTAGGGTAAAGCATCAGCTGTTAAACTCTAATGTTTGTATTTTATTTTTGTTTATAGGAGCAGTATGAACACAGCTTCAAAGAGGCCATGAAACTAGAGGCCGTCAACCCAGTGTCACCAGAGAACATTCATGTGGCAACTGTCACGAGGGTTAAAGGGCAGTACGTTTGGCTCAGCCTGGAAGGTGAGAGGGGCATGAAAGAAAATGTTCAGTTAGATATTATTTTTTTTCTGTGCTTTTTTTTTGGTTCTGGTCTGACTAGAAAGACAAATAGTTTTTACAGCTGTTGGTTGTATTTATTCTAATTTCTTTTAGTAATAATGGAATCCGCTTTGTCCAGAGCCAATTTGAAGACTATAAGCAGTTGATTACTATATCCGAATTTACTGTTATTTTTTATGCAGAATATCATCTAAATGCCATTTGTGTGGTTTTTCAATGAGAAAAATGAAATGAAACAGATGTAATTTTATTACAGTAACTTGCAACTTTAATTACAGTATACTGCGCTGTGTGCAGACATAACTCTGGTAGCCTGGTGCTGAAGTTTGAAAGTAATGGTTTCATAGAACAACAACACAGAAGATAACTGCAAAGGATACAAAAAACTAAAGCTAGCCTACGTCTGTTTTGAATTGCGGATCTGCTGCGCCGCATTAAGAAATCACTTCACATATTTATCCATGGTTCCCTGGATCAGAGTGTTGTCCAACACAGAGTTCACTTCTTTTTCAAAATGATTAAAAGGTCAAAGTTTTTGAAACCAATATGCAGGAGACCAGTCTTTAAAATGCAAAATGCATTCCTCATCTCAGCTGTGGAAGTGACAACAGTCTCTTCTTCTTCATCCTCGTCCTCCTTGCTGCGCGCAGCACTGGTACCCGCACCAAACAGCTCTTGTACCTCCACGGATGATGTCCTCGTCCGTCACGGGCTCTGACACCGGAGTGCTGTCATCAATTTCGATCCACTTATTAATTATTTTTGCACATGTTTATATGCATAAAGTGGCCAAAAATGAACACTATAAGCAGATTTCTTGATTACTTTAAACAAATTATTTAAACAGCATTTCTATAGAAATTATTCTGTCCCAAGCCTTTTGAACACTAAGCGGTTGATTACTATATCAGTGAACCACTATAAGCGGAATCCACTGTAATATTATGAAGCTATAGCAATCGCAACTTTGGTGGAACAAAAAAATAATCAAGAAATTTGAATTCCAAAGAGGCAAGGGGTTACTTTGATTTAATTTACTTTTTTTTGTCTAAATAGACACTTTATACTGCATGTTGAAACTGAATATTGAAATAAAGAATGATTTAATTTCTCTGTTACTCATCTGCAGTGCTGGGACTCAGGCATTATTAGGTAACGCATTACAGTAACTTTGTTAATGTTGCAATAACTAGCACTGTAACTAATTAGTTTGTAAAAGCAAGTTATGCGTTAGTCATTACTACTCTTTAATTAGATTCGTTATCCGTACTTAATGTGTTTAAATATGGACCCGTTTCCTGGTGTGAGCGCACGTGTGAGCGACGTGCAACTTCAGCATGCCTTGAACACAGAGGAGAGATGATGGAGCAGAGCCACGGATTCGATGACAGAGTTCCTAAAGTGCTCAATGAAGGCTAAATGCTTCTGTGATTTGCTCATTCTGTGCAGGAACAAAAACTTTCTAAACGTCAGTTAGAAGCTGTGATTTAAAGAAGCTACTCACATCATCTTAACAATGCCTGACAGCAGGCTGCCTTTAATCAACATATGTTCCTTTATTCACTTTATAATGATTTTACCTGCATGGTTTAATACTTAATACGATCCTTCTATGTTTTGTTTTTTCCAGGAATAGTGTAACTACTGTTTAATTCTATAGCAAAGTATATTTCATTTTTGTTAAATTGCTTGAACAGCATTGTTTTCCATCTTCATACCTATTTTATAGCCAATTGAAGGCTATCAGTATGCAAAAATATAAAGTTCTAAAACATCGTATTTTTCTTTTATTATAATCAACAACCATGATCACATCTACATAATTATATTGCAACTCCCTTTTCAAACCAGACTGATCAAAATAGTGCACGTTAGTTTTCAGTGTTTACAAATGTCTTGACTTTTAATTTAAAAATTCATTTATTATTTAATTTATTGATTGATAAAAAAAAAAAACACCATATTCTATAACTGAACCTCTAGTTGTATTTAATGTCAAGAAAGTTATCCAAATTGTTTGACATTTTAAAAAGTTAAACTGCATAGTTACTTCGGCTAGTAACAAGTCACTTTTGCTCAGCAGTAACTTAGTTACCAATTCCGTTAAGCTTTTGGAGAGGTAACTATTGAATATAACTAGTTACTTTTTTTAAATAACATTCCCAACTCTGCTCAGAAGTTATTTTAAAGGAGCCATTTCCTTTATGTTTAGTTTAATGGTAGACAAAAAAAATTAAATAAAAAAATCAGTTGGAAATAAAACAAATACATGGATCCATGTGTTGTCTCCACATGGATCCAGCTTTTTAGACCTTAGATAAACATTTTAGAAACCAGTTCCCTGAACCGAAAAATGTTAAAACAGTTTGGAGCTTCCATGTGTTGCTCCTTTTTTGCCACAGTGATGTTGTTTACCTCAAAGGGGTATTTTTCTCCAAGGTTTATTGACATTTCTGTGGCAGCGCCTCCAAAGGACATAGGTGCTACAGTGTCATCAGCCGTGCTGCAAGTGAAAAACTACTATACGTTACTCAGAAAACCTTTTAAATTCATTTTGTCTGCTTTTTGGAGGACCCCCCCCCTTCTTTTTTTGTTTGATCATTCTGTTTTAGTTCTACTAATAATGTTCATGGACTTCTGCATTAGCATTGAGCAGCATCCAGAAACGACTACATAAAAAGACTTCTCTGCTGACTCCGATTAAACTCATTTTATGTAGTTTTGCAACATATTTAAAAAAAGAAGAAAAAGCCACAAAGGGGAGAAAATCCATATTTTGAATCCATACAGTTGGATTATGACGTCTTCCCTCACGCACTAAAAGCACTTTCTGTAATATTAATGAAAGTGACAATAAGAAACAAAAAGTTTAATTAAGCTGTTATTATTAAGGCTTATTTTTACAAAAAGAAATCAATTACAAGGTTTAAACAAGCAAAGGTATATTTAGCACTAGGAGTGTAAATCACATCCATCATGGCGATTCGATTCAGTATCGATTTCCTGACCAAACGATTCGATTATTTTCGATACTCAAGAATACACCACGATAGGATTCGATTTGATTCGATTAATCGGTTAATTTTTTTATTTTTATTTTTTTACACCTAACAGGCTAAACAAAGTTTCAAGTTTGAAATAAATCAATGAAAGCTGTAATATAGTTATGCATTTTATTTTATTTTTTAGAAACAACGGCAAATAACAGAAGTAGAAAAGTTGCAACAAAAAATACTGCAAAAATACTGCAGAAAATCAGTGCAATGAGTGCAATGCAAAACCTCAGCTCCAGATGTCCCCTCCACAGACGCTCTGCTGCACCTCTCCCAAATTGTAGCTGACAGCAAACAGGGCCGCAGACAGGAGGCTGGCTTGTTTTGTTTTTATGACCGAAATTGCGGAAAACAACTCGTGAAGTTTGAGCTGCTAGAAGAGCGAGGTGCTCGAGAACACTGGGACCCTTTTTCCACCTGGATCTCCGCTCTTTTTGGCCCTCATGTCCCTACGTCGTCGGACTAAACTCGGCCCCACTTCCTCGCCGCCTCAGCCGTATCTAGACCCACAGTGTGTAGCCCAGACCACGTTTCAATATTGAGCATCATTTAAAAATGTCTGTGTCAAGCTCACTGCAACACACTGCTGCAGGAGTATAACCAGGAAGCGCGGTAGGAGGGCAAAATAGTTTTAGTGCCACCGCAGCAAGGGAGGGAGAATTACGCCCAGGAGCAAATGGATAAAAATAGACCGGAGGAATAAAAAAACATGAATCGATTCTCTTTCGGACGTGTCGATGCATCGGATCGTCGGCTGTTGGATCGATGCATCGATAAAAAACGATTATTATTTACACCCCCATTTAGCACACATTCAGCTCCAGTAAAAACATTGCTATGTTATAACTCTGTATTTTCCTCAGAAAAATATTGATTACGATGGCTAAACTATCAGCCATGGATGGCCAGAAGGTTATGCAGGTTCATCTAAGGGGAAGGATTGGTTGAAGGGTTTAGTTAAAAAAAATTTTTGGCCTATTATATGTTAAAATGCATATCATAACTTGCTTAATGGTGCTCCATACAGAGCTATATCCTCGCTGTCATCTTATCAAACATACTTTTGTCTTATGGGAAGCTTCTCTGTGACAGAAATGTCTAAATTCAGGCTGAATTGACAGCAGTAAAATGATCCTGCCTAGAAAGCGGGGACCAGTTTAGCCCAGCTCCGCGACCTCTGATGTTTTTGGAATAATTATGGCCTGGAAGTGCTTAGATTCAGAGGTTGGTTCCAAAGGGCTATCCCCAGCATGTGCCTGGCCATGCGCCAGGGTTCCCCCTCCAGCAAAATACAAAGAGGCATGGTGTGCTGCTTTCTAAATTTAAGGCTATTTACTTACATTTATAATTTGCATTCACTTAACTGAGACGTTTAGCTGTGATCTAAAATGAAAACACTTGAAAGATGACAGAAAAGGTTTTATTCATTTTTTATTTACACTTTTTAGTGAAAAAAACTGATATCTTCTTCTAATCTAATCCTTATAGTAGCTGACCAGCTGTTTGTATGTTCCTTTTGTTATTTTGATTAATTATGCTAGGTAAAACACTGAACAATGAATCATTTTAGCCTCAGTTTAAAATAAATAGAACCTGATTTTTTTTTTTTTTATGTTTGGGTGTAATAAATGACGTCCAGCATTACAGGAGCAGAGTTTGCGGTTTTGTTTCTATGATGCGTGTGTCTGGAAGGGATGAACTGACATCGTTGCATGTGGTTTTATAGGTCTGAAGCAGCCAATGCCAGAGCTGATAGTTCACGTGGATTCACTCGACATTTTCCCCGTCAGCTGGTGTGAGACAAACGGCTACCCTCTGGTTTACCCCATCAAGCCCTCAGGTATACAGCATGAGTCATCACAGAAGCTTCTCCTGATCATTATCCAGCTGATGTTAAAACACAGAGTGACTCTGTGTAATATTTAACCTGTTGCATCTTTGTGTTTGATTTTGTTTTTTGTTTTTTTTTTACTAGTAGAGAAGGAAAGAAAAATTGCTGTTGTGCAGCCTGAGAAACAGTGAGTATAAAAGCAGAATATTATATATCACCAACTGGTGTGTCAACTTCTAACTGATTTTTTTATTTTTCTTTCCCACATTACAGCAGAACTCCCCCCAAGTCCTCCTCACCTGATGCTGTCAAACAGCAGATGGCCAATCAGTCTGAGGCGGGTGGTGAGTATGTCTAAGGATTCCCAACTGTGTTGTTTTATTGGCAGATTATCTGTAGTCTGTGGTTGTTTTATCATTGTGGTTTTTTTTTTGGTAACAGGACAGGGGAATGGTAAATACTGCTGTCCAAAGATCTACTTCAATCATCGCTGCTTCTCAGGGCCATACCTTAACAAAGGTCGCATCTCTGAGCTGCCTCAGTTCATCGGTCCTGGGAACTGTGTCCTCGTTCTCAAAGAGGTGAGCTGCGTTTATCTCATCCTGCCTAAAATAAAATGCCTGCTAAAAGAAAAGAACGCTTTTTGTTTGCTTTTTTGTTTTTTAAGCCTAAATGCAAAAATAAAATTTACAATCCATAATGTTTCATTTTTCCTTTAGCTATCTAGATCCAAAACCAAAACACAGCTGTTTGTTGTAGAGATAAAACTAGAGACTGATGAGTTATATCAGAGTTACAGAAACATGTGATCACATGGATATTGCTGAATAAAGCAGTAGCAGTTCTGATTACAATTTCTGGGCATTCTGGGATATATCTGCCTCTTCTGAGGCCTTTCTTTTCTTCTCTTACACTTCGTATACACTTGTTCTCTTACGACCCTCCGCCATTTTCAAAGAACCATGGTGAGAAAGGTGAGCTTCAAGGACTGTCTGAAACCGTAGCTCACTACAGATATAAGCCTGCAAGTGCGCATGTGCAGAAAAAGACACCAGAATGATTGGCAATTAGGAGGATCAATTAGTTAGATGATCCAATAGGAAATAAAAGATAATCCTCTATACCTGTAACTTGTGCAAAATTGGACTTCATTTTTTTTCAGCAATTCAGGAACTTGCTACCACTTAAGTTGCTATTTTTTTTTAAGAAAAGGTAAACCTCATTACCTGCTCATCACACAATGCATCACTGCCAAAACCATGCCAGCTAAAGCGTTTTTTTTTATACGTTAGTGGGAGGTATATTAGTAGACGTTTACAGAAATGCTTAATGAAATAAGATTTTAAAAGCAGTTACTTTTAGTCAGGATGCTACAGCTGGCTTTTGGCATGTACAACTGTTAAGATAAAGTCACTCAGCTGAAAGCACAACACGTTTCTCACAAAATGTTGAGCAACTGTTTTAGCTAACCTCTGGTTAACATTCAATAAAACATTGCTTTCCTAATATCCTTATCATGACTCGCCCAATTACTTTTTTGGGATACTGGGAGTCTAAAGTGTTGTAATTGTTTCCTTTGTTTCCAGGTATTGACTCTGCTGATAAACTCTGCATACAAGCCGAGCCGTGTGCTGAGAGAGCTGCAGCTGGATCAGGAGAGCCGCTGGCAAGGCCACGGAGAGACACTCAAAGCCAAGTGAGGAGAAACGCTCTTTAATCTCAGCTCAACACTCTCAGCTCCTCAGAAAACTTGCTCAAATCACACAAGTGTTCACAGCTGGTGTTTTTGAAGATCTGCATTGAATTTAAAGCTGTAGTTTCACTGATTGCCTTTAGTGGCTTCCTGTTCCAAGTAACTCTGTTCGATCAAGTTAAACCAAACTGGACGAATGGTCGTACATATTTACTGTTTCATTTAGCGATAACTTTTCTACCTTGCAGCACGTTTGTTTGTGGAAGACGTGTAACTATTTTGTCCTCATTTATCAGTATTGTTCTTTGCATATCAGGTATAAAGGAAAAAGTTACCGGGCCACTGTTGAAATTGTCCGCACCGCAGATCGGGTGGCAGACTTCTGCAGGAAGACGTGCGTTAAGCTGGAGTGTTGCCCTAACCTGTTTGGACCTTGCATGGTTCTGGAGCACTGTTCAGAGAACTGCTCTGTTCTGACAAAGACAAAATACAGTAGGTGGTCATTTTCACCATGTGCATATCTTAGATTATTTTACATTTTAAGGCTGGGTGATTAATAGATTTGATCAATTGTTTGATTTTCTTTTTTTCTTTCTGAAGATTTATTTTTTGGAAAACCTAACTATTTTACAAGCATGTTTCACAATTTGTTTGTAATTGCCATTTAAATTACGATCACCCCCAGAGGAAATGATTGAAACTACAGCTAGTTTTAAAAAGTAATAAATGCAATTTGTCTTTTTTCTTTTTATGAAACGTAAGTGAGAAAAAAATAAATAAACCACATTTGCCCAGCCCTGATTGCAGAACTTTTTTACTGAGCTTTACTGAGCAGCAGAAATGTCTGAATTTGTTTTTTTGTTTTTTTACTCAGTGATGTGTCTCTGTTTAGAATTGGAGCAGATTTACAATGAATAAGGATATTATTATTTTTCCAACGTCCGCAGTCTATTTTTATCCAAGCCCATATATTTATTTTCATTAGAAGTTGTAAAAATATCTGTAGTTCTTGTTAATATCAGTCAAATATTTATTTTACACCCCAGGTTTTATACAAAATTTTAAAATTAGCTTTTTGTTTTCCTTTCACTAGCATATTATTGTGGAAAGAAGAAGAGTAAACGTGTTGGCCGTCCTCCTGGGGTTCACACCAACATGGATGGGACAGTAAAGAGGAGAGGCCGGCGGAGGAAGAGGAGGAAGCAGCTTTTTGTCCATAAGAAGAGACGCTCTTCGGCCTCAGTGGACAACACACCAGCCGGCTCTCCACAGGTAAATAAAAGCATGCTTTTTTTATCAGTTCCTTGTTTAATAATCAATTACCCGACCTGTCTTGATTGCCTTTGCTCATCTTTTCCTACAGGGCAGTGGAGAAGAGGAAGACTTGGATGAAGATGACTCCCTGAGTGAAGACACTGGCTCCGAGATGCAGGATGACCTTCAAGATGACTCTGAGCAATCTGTTGAAAAATCTCAGCCCGCCACGCCGTCACCATCTCCACCACCAACACCCAGGCCCTCACGGAGACGCCGGAAACCTCGCTCACCTTCCTTCTCTGATGATGAGAACCATCCTCCTTCACCCAAGGTAACGAGAGTAAAGATATTCTATTTGTTCATATTTAGCAGATAACAAGATGAGAAGAGCAAATTTCAACATATGTTTTGGAATTTTAGCTGAAAAAAAAAAAAAAGCTAAAGGTAGTGGCGAAAAAGAAAAAGAATTTGGAAATGTCTCCACCATGTTTGCTCCTAAGATGGTTTTATGTCTACCATCCTTCCTGTCCGTGTAGGAGACATTTTCTCACAGCATAAGCTCGCCACCATCATGATTCATAATATGGATTATATCTGTGAAATGATGACGATCCATTAAAAACTGATCAGTCTTGTGTTTCTTCTAACAATTTTTTTTTATCTTAAACAGTTCTTTAACATATCTACGAGCTAAAACATTTAATCAAATGAATTGTAAAGAACTGATTATTGAAGAAATCATCAACTGATTTAGTAATCAAACAAAAGTCAACTGGAGTACACAGCTGCTAAAACACGGCATATGTTGAAGGAAACAACAACTCAGAGCTGTAATAAAAGTGTACTAAAAGACATCTTACATTATCAGTTAATGCTCTTGTCAAGCTTATTCTTTTGCTCATAAGCTCGGACTCACGCTGAGACAATGAAATTTAAAAAGGACACATATAAATGGATTTGGATTTGTCACAACAGTTAACCCTGAGCTACAGGCTGGTTAGTCAACATATAAAGGTGCTTTAAGATCCAATTCATGGATCTTAAAGCACCTTTTGCTATGCAGCTGTTCGTAGATTAATGGAAAAAAGTCAACAATATAACTGGTTAATAAAATCATTTTTATTTGCAGTCCTAATCTACATACGATGGTTTCATTTGGGGGGAAAAATGTGTAATTTCCCCGCCATACCTCAGCAACATTCGCATGCCTACTAACTTTTCCTGCATTGTCCCAGCTTGCAGCCCCGCTAACCGATTCATATCAGAATACATCCCATCTCCCGCAATTGCTCTTTCTGCAAAAAAAGTAAATTAAAAAGTACATTTTTTTCTTTCCCTAAATAAAAAAATCAAATTAAACTATAACAAGTGGATTTCTTTTCTGAGAGAACAAATGCATTTACATCCTTCCTGTTATCACTCCTCTGTACCCTATCTGTCCCAGAAATGGGATCCTACCGCCTTACGGCACCTCATTTTCCCGGGCTTTAAATTTATGAATAACTAGTAATTTGGGGCTTTATGTTTACATTTTATAGCACTTTCATATATATAGTGTATAATCTAATGAAAGACACTACTCAAATACAGTGTACTCATATTTTGCTGCATGTCCGATAATGATGTCAGACAAGCAGATAAACTAAGATCATGTGATTTTTATGATAAAAATAAGCTCTTTCAATACTGTAATAACATTATTTATGACGACCTGGGGGAAATATCTGCTCGTGCATGCATATAAGCTCAGCAACATAAAAATTATTGTTTTCAATTGATTATTTAATTTATGCAACCATCAGTTTTATTGAAAGTTAGAAACACCTGATTTTTCTTTAAACATTTCTTTAAAAAACTACTTCTTTTGAAGTGTGACCTAATCCGTGCATTGACATGCATTTTATTTATATATATATATATATATATATATATATATATAGCAACAAGGTATTCATTATTTCCTTTAAATTTAATATTGGTTGTAAAGAAAATGTAAGTTAAATTTCTAACAGTAGAGCAATGCATCATTCATTGGACTTTCAAACATGAGCATTTGCTATTCAGCAGGTAACTCAGTGGGATTAAAGCATACTGTATGTAGTGCGGCTATTTTTTCCCTTTAACCAATTACTAAAAAAATTATTTCTGTCCATTTTAGCAGAGAGTTGTTTAGCTTTTCTGGAAGCGAGTAATGTTGGCTCTGAAGCTACTTATCTGGTGTGATATAGGATGGATTGAGAATCTGTGCTGCAAATGTGGACGCAGGCATTAGCATTGCTAACATCCCTGCTGCTACAACATGAGCTGCTTTGAGATGGATTTAAGCTGGAATACTCCCATTGGAATAACACTTTTTGTGCTGCTTGTGCATCACATTTACAGGTGTATGATACACAGCAAATTGAACACTATAATTAATCAATAAAAATGAAAGCGTTAAAATACCGGCCATATTCAAAACCCTCTATTCTGAAACCTGTTTCAGAGAAATCTTGCTCTTAAGCACCGCATAGCTGCAGCTCTCCCTGATGAAACCAGAGCCCGTTTCAATTGCACATCGCTCATTTAGACACATTTTGAAAACTATGTATAATTTTTTTTGTCTGCTCTACATGTGTCAACTTTTGTCAGTCTTTTACATAAAACACATTGACATTTGTTTTTGTAGAATGACTCCATTTCAAAAACGTTGTGCAGCAGTTTATATTGGTCTGACCTTTTCCCAAATTGTGTCAATGAGGTCATTATTAGAGCATCTAACTCCCAGTATGTCACGTACTTTGAAGTTTGCAAAACACATTAACCTCCAATTCTCCCTTGAAAGGTACTCACAGTCATTTAAAAAAACTTTTCTAGATAGTATGACTCAAGCAGTTTATCTAGCAGGGAGTACAGGTGCTGGTCATAAAATTAGAATATCATGAAAAAGTAGATTGATTTCAGTAATTCCATTTAAAAAGTGAAACTTGTATATTATATTCATACATTACATACAAACTCATATATTTCAGATGTTTATTTTGTTTAATTTTGATGATTACAAATGACAACAAATGAAAATCTCAAATTCATCATATCAGAAAATTAGAATATTACTGAAGACCAATAAAAACAAAGGATTTATAGAAATGTTGGCCAACTGAAAAGTATGAACATGAAAAGTATGAGCATGTACAGCACTCAGTATTTAGTTGGGCCTCCTTTGGCCTGTATTACTGCAGCAATGCGGCGTGGCATGGAGTCGATCAGTCTGTGGCACTGCTCAGGTGTTATGATAGCCCAGGTTGCTCTAATAGTGGCTTTTAGCTCTTCTGAATTGTTGGGTCTGGTGTATTGCATCTTCTTCTTCACAATACCCCATAGATTTTCTATGGGGTTAAGGTCAGGAGAGTTTGCTGGCCAATTAAGAACAGGGATACCATGGTCCTTCAACCAGGTACTGGTAGCTTTGGCACTGTGTGCAGGTGCCAAGTCCTGTTGGAAAATGAAATCTGCATCTCCAAAAAGTTGGTCAGCTGCAGGAAGCATGAAGTGCTCTAAAACTTCCTGGTATGTGGCTGCGTTGACCCTGGACCTCAGAAAACACAATGGACCAACACCAGCAGATGACATGGCACCCCAAACCATCACTGACTGTGGAAACTTTACACTGGACTTCAAGCAACGTGGATGAAGTGCCTCTCTTCTTTTCCTCCAGACTCTGGGACCTTGATTTCCAAAGGAAATGCAAAATTTACTTTCATCAGAGAACATGACTTTGGACCACTCACCAGCAGTCCAGTCCTGTTTCTCTTTAGCCCAGGCAAGACGCTTCTGACGCTGTCTGTGGTTCAAGAGTGGCTTGACACAAGGAATACGACAGCAGAAACCCATGTCTTTCATACGTCTGTGTGTGGTGGTTCTTGAAGCACTCACTCCAGCTGCAGTCCACTCTTTGTGAATCTCCCCCACATTTTTGAATGGGTTTTGTTTCACAATCCTCTCCAGGGTGCGGTTATCTCTCTTGCTTGTACACTTTTTTTGACCACATCTTTTCCTTCCCTTCGCCTCTCTATTAATGTGCTTGGACACTGAGCTCTGTGAACAGCCAGCCTCTTTAGCGATGACCTTTTGTGTCTTGCCCTCCTTGTGCAAGGTGTCGATGGTCGTCTTTTGGACAACTGTCAAGTCAGCAGTCTTCCCCATGATTGTGTAGCCTATTGAACTAGACTGAAAGACCATTTAAAGGCTTTTGCAGGTGGTTTGAGTTAATTAGCTGATTAGAGTGTGGCACCAGGGGCCATCAATTTTGAACCTTTTCACAATATTCTAATTTTCTGATATGATGAATTTGAGATTTTCATTTGTTGTCATTTGTAATCATCAAAATTAAACAAAATAAACATCTGAAATATATGAGTTTGTATGTAATGTATGAATATAATATACAAGTTTCACTTTTTAAATGGAATTACTGAAATCAATCTACTTTTTCATGATATTCTAATTTTATGACCAGCACCTGTATGTCTGCCCCAGTTATAGGCAAACAGTAAGACAGAAACTCTGACCCAACATATGTGTTTCACCAGACGTCAAAGGCTGAACCTCCTCAGAAGCTGTGTTTGGACACGAGTCCACTGGAGTGGAGTGTTTCTGATGTGGTTCGCTTCATCAGGACCACTGACTGTGCACCTCTTGCAAGGATTTTCTTGGATCAGGTAATGATGCCCCTGAGGAGGCAATTTGAATGAAATTGAAATCAAATGTTTGAGAAATTTTGAGAAAGAAGTCAGAAAGAATGTTGAAGTTTTATCTCGTGTAAAACTGTGCATTTGTAGGAAATTGACGGACAGGCCCTTTTGCTACTGAACCTTCCCACCGTACAGGAGTGCATGGATCTTAAGCTGGGACCGGCCATAAAGCTGTGCCACCACATCGAGAGGGTCAAACTGGCTTTTTATCAACAGTTTGCTACGTAGTCGACGGGGAAAGTTAACAGGACACGGCTGCTTCCTGTTAAGCGATTTAATCCTGTAAAAATGTGGACGTTTTATTTAAATTAGAATTTTTAAATTTTACTTTTGTCTGTTTTTGCTTTTGTTTTTTGTTTTCTTTTTACACTGGAAATCATTTTCCTTTTTTGTATGAATTGCATCCTTTTAAATTAGCTCAAATCTAAGAAGTCATAAATTATTATTTTCGCTTACATAGGGCCACAAAGACATGAAATAACCAAACATTTCACTCCATAAAGTATCAGATGTGAAGCAAATTACTGACAAAAAGATATGAATTGAATATGTGTAAAATGCATCAGATCATATCTTTTTTTTATGGAAAATTACACTAATTTCAAGGACCCTCTGTTTGAATTTCATCTCCTTGATATTTTTTTTCCCTTATACTGTCAAGTAGCCTCTACAAAGATAATCAATATTCTTTACTCTTTCAACACTCAAAAGACTACAGGTGGAGCAGTTAAGGAAAAATATGCATTGAAATCTTTGTGGTGTAATTAATCAATGCAACAGTTGTTTGGGTTTAGCTTTGTCAAAATTTAGGCACAATGTTGTTTAAATTACATTTAGGAGGAAAATTATCTGTTATTTTTTTATAATAAAAGATAAAAATGTCAAGTTTTGTTCCTATGAAAAAAAATTGATTTGTTATTACTATAACTTTGCTCCAAGGATTCTGTATTGCGAGCACAAGTAAAACAAAGCACTGAATGCTGATATACCCAAGTGCATGTTTGTACAGTGTACATACTCAAATCTTTTAGTAAAACAGGGTTATTTGGCAAAAAAACTGCCTAAGCAATGTGTAAATGTCCAAAATATACAGAATAATTTGCACAGAATAGACTTTAACCTTTATGTAAGGGAAGCATAATTTTGTTTTGAAAATAGATACAATTCGCAGCATCAGCAGAATAGTTTTTAGCAAGCAATTGGCAGCTCTAAAATGAGAAGTTCATTAGCAAACGCTTCTGTAAGTTGCTATTTCAAGTAGTTTAAATTGCTATGTGCTTCATTTTGTGTGTGAGAATCCTCAATTGTTTAGTTTGCTTGTAGGTTCCTGTTTTTTTTTTTGTTTTTTTTTTTTGTTTTTTAGAAAAACAGAACAAATGTATGTGTCGTGTAAAACTGCAATAAAGATCAATGAGCCCTGGTAGTCTGTGTGTTGTTTTTTTGGTTTTTTTTTCTCCTGCCTTTTTTTTTTTTTTAGATAAATAAAGGTGCGTTCTGCTGCACCCCTAGTGGGAGGAGTGGTGGCCTAACGGTTAGGGCATAAGCTGGGAAATCCTGAGGTTGTGAATTTGAAACCCACTCCCACAGACTGCCAATCTGGCTCCCTGAGCAAAAGACCCTTAACCCTGCACTGCTCCCCAGGTGCCAAAAATGGCAGCTCACTGCTCCTCAAGGAGATGGGTTAAATGCAGAGAGTGAATTTTGTTGTGCTGTACTTGTGACAGTGTAATGACTATATAAAAAATAAAATGTCACAGAAAATTTCTTTATTCATACTTGGAAATAATCATAGCTATGGAAGCAAAAGGGAAACAAAAAAAAAAGGCAAATTTTCCAGCAATTCTTAAGCTTTCCACATGCGTAGTGTCAAAGGTCCTCCTTCTATATAGGACTACTGACTTTTAAAGCTACAGTGTGTAATAATTACAGGGATATACACTCAGAAATGTAATATATTATACATAACTATGTTATTTATCATCATCTACGAGCTCAGCCTCTTAACCTTAATATTTGCGTTGCCTTAGAATTCGTTATTTATAATTACATAGGAGCGGGTCTCGCAGTGTAATTTTTAGCGACATCTAACGTTCAGATTGCAGACCGCAGCAACATGAACATCTTCTAGCGATTGCGAGATTGCCCACAGAGATGGGCAATCTCGCAATCGCTAGTTTGTTGGCTCTGCGCTGCCGTAGCGCAAAGATGTCTGCCTCCATGGCTGCGAGACCCGCTCCTATGTAATTATAAATAACGAATTCTAAGGCAACGCAAATATTAAGGTTAAGAGGCTGAGCTCGTAGATGATGATAAATAACATAGTTATGTATAATATATTACATTTCTGACTGTATATCCCTGTAATTATTACACACTGTAGCTTTAAAGTTTTCATTATTTGATAAAATATGTCCTATTCAAAAAAGAATTAAACATTTATCATCTATTACTTTCTGTTTATTTTTACTCATATGTATGATTATTTGTTTCAGTATTTATTAAACTTAGAAGCACTATGTGTCATCTTCCTTCAAGCTGTGCTAAAAAAAGTCTCCAACCTAACCCATTTGTTGGATAAAGGGATGGGCGAAGCACCGAACTAACCGACAGCGATCCCAGCCTACATTTCCCAGCATGCAGCTCGTTCGCCTACGTTCAGGTCACGTGACGCCGCCTGTCAACAGGAGTGGGCACTGCTAGGGAAGCAGCTAGCTATTATTTCCCTTTAAAAAAAACAACCAAAAAAAAACATCGGATTTTCATAGACTTCTCTGGGCGTCATGAGAGACTGGACGTGTTCCGACTTTCAGGTAAGAGAAAAAATTTGCTTGCCAACATTTTAGCTCAATGTAAAGGAATAATGTACTTAAGCTAACCCTGTGCTAGCAGTAGCCGTGGCCCAGAACGTGGATTTTTTTTACTTGACCTATACTTTACCAAAGGATAATAGAGCTATAACGTCGGTTGTTGTGTGTTGTGCTATCTACATAGGATGCATTTAGCATCAGTGTCCGTTTTTTTTATGTAAACACTAAGGTTGAGGTTAGAGAAGAGGTCCTGTACTGCACAGACCTCAACAATCTATGTTTTTATTTATTTTACAACTCGTTTAGACAACTTTTCTTCTCATATGAATGAGCAGCTGTGACCAAGCGGATGCATGAAGCAGGAGAATGAGCGACAGACGATGCTACCATATGTCCCCGATGCCCAGCTTGACATATACACCGGCTGACTAACTGCTATCTGAGGGAGACCCGCTTGGTTTACTAGAGAGGACCATGGCTGCTGTAAGTGGTGGAAACACGCTCGGAGGGGCGGCTGTAGCCGGGGTTTCTGTGGCCAACACCTCGGCGACATCCTCCAGCCCTCCGCCGGGGACCGATACCCGGGGCTGCGAGAACGGCGCCCTGATGGACTCCTTTGGGATTTTCCTCCAGGGCCTCCTGGCGGTGATGGCTTTCAGCACCCTCATGTGTGAGTATGCTCCCAAAAGCTGCTACGTGTCAGATATCTGACACTGCTGATGGAAGCCGCCTTCATCCAATAACCTCACTACATTAATCCAATTCTGTATTGATCTCTGTTAGGTCCAGGAAGTGAGGCACTAGATAAGAGCAGCACAGATGAGACACTGAGACTGCTTGTCTTTTATGTTCTGTCTTTACTTATTTGCGCAAAGAATACTTCAAATTTCCTGCTGTTGAATGCCTTTTTAAAGTTGTTTTTCTTGTTTGTTTGATTTTTGTTTTGTCATATACAATTTCTAAATTGAATACATTTCTAAAGAGGATCAAACATCCCAGGGAAGAGTCTTAGACAAGTGTCTAAGAATAACATTATAGTGAAGAGTTAAATTGTAAGCAAAATTGGAAAATTGGAGCTTGCTAAACCTTTTCTCTTGAAATTATGCACATGAGCCTTCCTGTTGTAACTACAATTATGAGAAAATGGATTATTAAAGGAAAGAGATGTATTTTGTCCTAATTATAAAGTGCTTTACAAAAATATAACACCTGACGCTGCATGTTGTAGTGATGGAGGACTCTGGCTCTTCTTGCTTTTTAAAACCTGTTGTTTTTTTTTTCTTGATAGGAAAGCCAACATCTCTGCTCTAAAGTAGCCCTTCAGTTTTTGCAGTTGAGTTGATTTTATATAATAATTGAACCTAAAGTAATGTAGAAATATGAAGATGCAGTGAGGCAAAGCAATTGGGCAACAGAGCCCATACAGCGTACCCCAGCTTTTAAAAATGTCATCCGCTTCTTCGCATAGATGACACTACAGATCTTGACCGTTGACACAGCTCCATGGAAAATAATGGAGGGAAGCCAAAAAATGCACTCTTGCTTTTTGCTTCTAATGCTTTATCTGTCACAGCTGACACATTGGCAACATTTTTTTTTTACAAGATTGCTGTAAACTTCCTTTTTTTTTAACAGTGACTTTCCATTTCCTACCCTTCTATAAAGGTTAGATTTCTACATTGCATAATAGTTTTTATATTGATAAATTCTTCGGACACTCACCTCTGTTGTTTCTTTAGATTATGCCAACTTACATTAACTTGTTTAGTGTGAAAACAATGACAAAACTGATACCTGAGGTAGCAGAGAGGCTATTTGAGGATTAAAAATTATATTTCTTAGCACAGATTTCGAGTATTTTCCCCAGAACCACTGGAACAAGCATGAATCCATGTAAACTGCTGTTAATGCAGACAGCATTGACTTCAGCATTCATTGTAAGTGGCTTTTTTACATCAGGACTGTAGCAGCACCGTAGTCGGTGTGCGCTTGGCATAAGCCAAGGAACTGTGTTGTATACTGGAAAAACTAAGTACTCAATATAAGGGCTGAATGATTTCGCGAAAAATCTAAATTGCTATTATATTTAACCAGTATTGCAATTGGGATTTTATTTAGATTTTTCTTTTGCACTAACCGCAAGTTTGTAAATGTTTCATCACAGGCAAGTCGGTTTTTTAAAGCTTGACCAGAGTCCATTGTGGCAGGACTTTACTGTTACCTTAGTGCAAAAAAAGTCTTTATTTCTACTTCCATGCATGGATCTGTGTGCTAGCTACAACTCTCTTTACCTTTATGTGTGGTGACAAACTGTCTTTAAGTGTTTCACTGCCACCTAAAGGGCTGGAGTGAAAACTTTGGTGTCGTACTCTTGTTAAATATAGTGTGATTAAAAATTTGGTGCATCTGTGATTTGAAAATTGCGTTTTGCTAAATTGCAATTATATTGCAAACTTCAGCTGTGAGGAATATATTGAGATAAATTTCTGGCATCCCCAAAGCACGTTTCCATTCCTGTGTTTCACTGTTGGGATATTGTTGTTGGAAAAAAGCCGATTGTTCTCAGGTTTAAACCGGGGTTTTGGCCGGTGGAAAAAGTGTTGTTAGTTAAAAAAAACAATTATTAACCCGCTCTATTGGTGGCTCTATCTAGGAAAGTGTTACCTTGCCGCTATATTGCCAGTCTGTTGCCTTATAGTCCATCCCAGCCCTGTGCAGGGACATAATATATTCCCTGTGTTTCTTAAGCAGGTGTTTTTATGAAAGTAACAGGTAAATATTAATTTGAAGATACGTTTGACTTTCAGATCAGAACCACTGGAGCAAAAAAAAAAAAAAAAACAGCAGAGGGCCCAGAATAAAGCTTGACAAAGGATGAAAACTTTGAAATGAA